CGGGGGGAGGGCGGTCCTGGGGGGCGGACCCGGGGAAGCCGAGGGTGGGGGCCGGCCAGTCTAGAGGGGGCGGTCCGGGAGGGGAATCGGTGGGCTGTCGGGCGAGGGGCGGAGCGGTTGGGGGGGTCGGTCACGCGGGGAAGGCGTTCGGCCACCTCCATTCCACCTCCATTCCCCCGCCATTCAGCAATCCCGTGGCTTCTAGTTAGCAGGAGCGGTAGCTTTGCCTTTGTTCTGAGGGGACCCCCTAGCAAAGGGCACGGGAAGCAAAAAGTGCTGTGCATCAGTGAGCGGGCTCCCCGGTGGCCAGTGGAGCAGCTAGTAACCTTCGGGGCAGAGAAACCAATTCGATGAAAGTGATGAGTATCTCCCCTTCATCCTTTGCTACCGAGCCGGCGCCTAGGTGTTCTCATTCCACACCAAAGCAAGGAGCAACATTCTGCAAGGATTTTTCCTCTAAGTATGAAAACCAAATAAAACTCTGCTTTTTTGGATTCAAGTTTCTTCTGCTAGCACAGCAGTATTTTGAAAGAGGATATACTTAGCTCTCATACAGGACTTCGATGTGCTGCAGGCCTGATGGGCTGAGGTTGGATATATTCCGCCACCGCTTCCCCCAGTAAGTTGCAGCAAAAAATGACATGCGAAGAACAAGTCCACATATTTAATTTGGAACATACAGGACAATTTATTGAAGTCAGTCTCAAGCAAAATCTGAAATCAGTGGAATGTCATTAAAAATCTTTCCAAATTAATCCCCACAGAAGCAAAAAACACATTTGAATTCCAAAGTATTTGTAAAATAAAAAAGGCAAAATCTCAGTAAATATAATATACAAAAATTATATGTTCCTACCAGCACACACATCAGTAAGAAGCTTAAATATTACAGGCAATCCTAACTACACTATAACTAGCCAACAATAAGCTGTTTATATACAGGTTAACCAAGCTTTACACATTCACACTATGCAATAAAACATAGGTCCATCAACAAAATCCCCCAAATATATCTTGAAGTCTTGTGGCAACATCAAGTCATTATACAGTAACGCCCTAGTGGAACACCCCCAGGGAAAAGTAACACTAATCTGTTAGTGTCAAGAGCTTCTAGCCAAGTCACAGAAACTTAAGAGATTGACTTTAGTGAATACTGATGCTTTGTTATTAAACACTCAAGTCTCAAGTGATTTAGGCAAAATAACATTTCACAGAATCTACAAAGTTTATTACAGATAAACAAAGTACAGAAATAACCAATCTACAAAGGTCATTATCATAGATAAAGATCACAAGGAAATGAAAACGGAATCTGTAGGTATCTGTGTTTGTTGTGCAATATCACTCAATGTGGATACAAGTGAATTTCTCATAACTCCAAATATGCACACACCCTTGTATATAAAAAGACAATCTTATTATTAGTCAATTGTAATCACCATTTAGCATCCTGGTTACCAGTGGCAATGTGATTATTCTTTTTTAACATAGGGTATGTGACAGGGCAAATGAGATAAAAAGCAATATTAATGACAGTGAAGTAAAAGTAAATTTTATCCAGTCCACTTCTAAACTGACAGGAATACCTTATAAATACCTTATGTAGGTAATCTGAGGGATACTTGAGAACCATTAGCACATATCAGCAGTCTGTGGGCAGGAAGGGAAGGGCATTGGAACCTGAGGGTGCTTTCTCGACACTTAGCAGATGCAGTGACGTGATGTCACATAAGAAAAATAAAGGACTGAATAAATGACTGTGGCATATACTCTGTTTTCCTTTTTTGCTTGCATGTTAATAACTTAGAGGCTCCTAAAAGACAGGTGATTGATCATCTTCCTCCTTCCCCTTCATACGTAAGTGCCACAAGCACCTGAACTTGTCACTTAAGCAATGGACTGACAAAAATGGAAACAGTTTTTGAAACACACAGGTTACATCCACCATTTCAGGAGTGTAACATAGGTGCAATCTCCCTACCCCCACAGGCATATTAAAAGAAAAGAAGAGGTGCTTAGGGATAGGGTTGACAAAATGACAAAATAAAGAACATACATAGAAAATATTCATAAAATGCTGCCCATGCCTTCCTCAAATGTGTACTTTAAATCTGAGCTATCTGAACAATCTCTCCCATTTGCAGAATTTTGCCTTTAACCCAAGTTAAAGAGGATAAGAGACTAGGCTGTTTACTGTATTTTCAGAACAGTATACAAAACAATGCCTTCTACTTCATAAGTTTAAAGAAAAAACTATAAAATGAGAAATGGAGGAGTTTCAAGTACTTAAAAAACCTGAATTCAATGAGGCAGAGTTCTAAATGTTAAAGTGACTACTTCGTACCTGTGGTAAACATTACCCTATTATAACCCCCTTTTCTCTGTGTACCCCACCCCACATAAGAGTTGGAAAGATTTCAGTATATACAAATTTCCAACTCTTCAGTCTTAGCTAATTCATAGCAAAGCTGTCTAATTGTGTCTATTTCCTATCCCACCTGAAAAGGAAAGTGAGTTCTACTTTTTGTTTGTTTACAAATAACCAGCGACCAGTTCTTGGCCCTAGGCCAAAGGACGTTGTTCCATTTGATCACTTCATGTCTGCAGCAACTTGGACAATTTAGGGATGGCTAGAAGCATCAGCCTTGTAGAAAGTGATCAAGTCTAATCTGCTCTGTCCAGCGATACAGCCACTTCCCCAAGCGCAGTGCACCTCTGCTGAAGTTAAGTCAGATGCACCCTCCCAAGCTGTAAGGACGCTGTAACTTGTTTTCGTATCCTGTTAGGACACAGCCTGTGGCAGCACCTTGTCTTTAAGGCGAATGCTAAAGGAAGAGCTCTGTTTTTAAAAATGAAATGAAAGACAAGCAACAATATCCTGGGCAGTCCAGAGATTACATTCTTTATAGATGGCATTTCTGTTTTACAAACTGCAGATCTGGGTTTGACCCTGATTTGAGCACACACCATACACGAAACTACTCAAAAAGGAAAAAACTACTTCATGAACCAGGGAAGAAAGCTATCTAACAGCCTGCCCTACTGAGAATCCTTTACATGATTAGATACTCAATATCTTAGTTCCACAGTATTTACAAGCATGTTTCCAAATATTCTGTGAAAAACAGCAGAAGGGAGCTGGAAGCAAGTCCCCCCTGCCACATGCATGCACGCGCGCGCGCGCGCACACACACACACACACACACACACACTCCTTTTTTTTTTTTTTTAAGTTTTCGGATATGTTCCTGACTGGAGCACACAGAAATCTCCAAGTTTCAGTGATTCTAAACTTCAGCCTATTTTATAGCTTGTTGTTGTTGGGTGCTGTTGAGTCCTTTCCCACTCACAGCGATCTCATGTGACAAAGCAGAACTGCCCCATAGAGTTTTCTAGGCTGTAATCTTTACAGAAGCAAATCTCCAGGTCTTTTCTCCCTTGGGAGCCACTGGGTGGGTTCAAGACACCAACCTTTCACTTAGCAGCCGAGTGCTTAACCACTGTGCCACCAGGGATCCTTTTTTTATAGCCTCCTACCCACTGCCGTTGAGTCGATTCCGACTCAAAGCGACCCTATAGGACAGAGTAAACTTCCCACTGGGTTTCCGAGGCTGTAAATCTTTACAGAAGCAGACTACCACATCTTTCTCCCAAGCAGTGGCTGGTTGCCAACCTTTTGGTTGGCAACTGAGTGCTTTAACCACTGCACCACCAGCGCTCCTTTTCTATTGCTCCTTTCTATAGTTAGTCCTGATCAATTTTGAGAATTAAGATAAAGAGTGGGAATTTGGTGAAACAAAAACGAAAATAAAACTCACTTCATTCCTAACTCTAGCCCTGACTGGATATTAATGAAGTGAATCCCTGCCTCCAGCTGCTTCAGCACTGCAGGAATAGGCCCAGCCCACCCTTCGCAGCCAGCTGCAGGCGGCGCCCTGACTCCCTTCTCTGGCCTGGCCCGCCCTACCCTCCACTGCACAAGGCCCTGTGCAAGTTTCTCAGGATTCCATCGTTAGCTGCTACCGATCCAATTACTGAATCTTAAATTCACTTCTTCCTTCACAGAATTAACATGACGTTAAAAAAAAGACAAAAAAACCCCACCATTATCCCATGTTACTTTAAATTATTCATTTCATTTTGGACAAGACTAAAAACCAACCACTTATGCTCTGACCACATACAGAGTTAAAAGTTAACAAGTACTAACTTCCGAAGACGAGGGAGCAACACGTCTTTCGGAACGTTCCATTGGTGTCACACAGGCACACAAAAAGCACAACTTGCTCTCCTGCTGCTTCCATACCGTGCAATTGCAAAAGAATCCAAACAGGTCAACAGTGACTCTACGGAGGTGTGAGGAGAGCGCCTTGGCACGGGTATCATCACAAAGAACACTCACGGACAGAGACTGCAGAGCTATGGTTAGCTATTTTGTTTTCTACCCGGATTACTAAAATGGCATAGCAAAAAAGTAAAAAAAAATCTCAGCAGAACTATGTTATAGATATAAAAACAAAATGTGACACAATGAAGAAGCTGCATAAAAATACTTAAACCTAAGGTATCTGCAGTATACAGAATATACCCTGGCTTACTATATAAAATTTATCAGATATTAAATAGTACTAAGTCCAAAATAAAGCAAGGAGATAAGATTTCATGTTGGGTCCTGTTTCAACAAGAGTTGCATTTGGAATATGAAAGGAAATCCTTCAAGTTAGTAAGTTTATAAAAGCAAACATTTACCATATACATATATAAAATAAAATTGTAGTAGGATAAAAGCTACATTTTCTTAAATTATTTTTTTAAAAGGACATCAAACTGTATAATCGCTCAAAAGCAAAGATTAGTGTTTTGGTGAGCTGTATTTCATGTTACTTGTAGCAATTATTATTTGGTAACATGTATAGCATTTTCCATTTTGCTCTTTCTTCTGGGACCATATCTAATCAACAGAATTACTTGAGGTCCAGTAAGTCACCTCAGAGTTATTGCTGGAATTAGGCAAATGGCAGTTTAGGAGCTTAAGTAAAGGAATCGTAGTGTTTTCTTAAAAGAGAAAATCCAGCACAACTGCACATTTACATACCAAAAAAAAAAAAAAGAGGCACAAAACAGATTTTTTCCAGAGAGGAGCTCTAAATTGATAAGAAAAAGGAACACACTGGCACAGCAGAAGGAATACAGTAGGGTCATCTACCCTTCCTACCTTCTTAAGGTTACTAGGTACGACTTGAGGGAAAAGAAACACTACCAGGTACCAGCAACTGTCAGCAGTCAAAATTCACAGAGAAAGTGAATGTTCATTCGTCCTAACCCGAGAACTCTACTTAGTACAGTCTTACAACATTGTCTGACAAAACTAATTATTTCATATGGGGAATACCAGAATATACATATTCCTATGTATTAAAAGCAAGTGAGTTCTGTGGGCAGACATCTTGACATACTTGCATCTGTAAGATTCATGCATCACAGACAACCATCTTGGCTAACACTGACTTTCTTGGGAGTTTTTCCCCAAGTGCTTCCTAAGATGAAGTGTTTGTGTGGCTCTTATATACCCTGTAGAAGTGCTTCCCCTTACTCAATGGGGGCAATTTTAAGTATTGGATAATACTACATAGAAATTGTTTATGTACAACTTGGGGATGTCCCTATCCATTTCACCCCCAAAACTAGGAATTCAGCCAAAAAGAACTATTCAAATTCATTTGTGTAGTTTTCACCAGGAAACATGATTGAATGGTCACTTGACAAAAGGAATGTTTGATTAGGAGAGGGAAGCAGAGACAGAAAATAAAATGCCCATGATTCTCCCCAAGTCAGACCAGGGTCTACATGAAATTGGACAGAAAATGGTGCTTATCTGGTCCCACTTTTGGTGTGTGCCTTTCATGTCCCTTTAGCTGCCTGCATCAGTATGTCAGGAAGACAGGAATGACCATTCTAGCTGTACATTCGTACCCGTGTAAATGCATGTCATCAAAAAGACCCACCGTTAATGGAAAACATTTCAAAACCAGTGAGTACATCCATTCCTTTTTCCTCCGAAACAAAAAACCAACTAAAAACCACATTATATACCTTTTCAGGTACAGTTATTAAATTACAAAGCCCATCTAGTCTAAGATCACAGAGGAAAATCCCACTGAGGCATTTTGTTTTCAGGAGGCCAGATCCAATACTTCATAGAACCCTTCTCTAAGACTATGAAAGAACATTTTGAATGGAAAAAGAAGTTAGCCAGCCTACTGCTCAGTAAAGAGGTATTTAAAGATCATCATACCCTTTTCTAGAGGGCTTTCTCCAATCCTACACAAAACACACACACACGCACACACACACACACACACTGATTAGACTATTTGAACTACACTTCTCAAAATTCCTAGAAATGAAAATAAATAAAGGAATGATGGCTACTTTTGTTTTATACACCCAAGGAACACATCTTAAACCTTAAATTTATCTTGTCAACAAAATTTTCTTTTCTCTTTGTTCTTCTCTTAAATGTGAAGACATCTCTTTTTCCAGCTGCAAAGGCATTGAAGAACATGATAAAGGGCAAGAAAAAGACAAAGAGTATTTAACCCTCCACAAAAGAATCCCCAAACCGACAAAACAAAACCGGCCAGACCCCACCAACTGCGTCTGCCCGCAGGAACCGCTTTCCCATTTTCACTCTGACAAGGCAGTTCAGATGGCAAAGGCTGTCTGCACTGTAGCGGTTTCTTCTTTGTCAGCTGCATTGTCTACTTTTTTCTTTTAAACAAGAAAAGGAGGGGGAAAAAAAAGGGAAAAGGAAATCACCACCCATTTACTCCTTTACTTCTTCTCCATGATCTTGTGATTCCAATTTACATTTGATCTTGCTCCAGTATTCTGGTGACACAGGACAGATGGGGTCGTGTTCAGAGCAGCAGAGACGGCCTTCCAGTGCAGAGGGAACCAGAGCTCCTTCTTCATGATCTTTACAGAATGAATGTGGACAGAACTCACAGAATGAAGCCGCTGAACTGCTGCATTCATCACACTGATGCCACGGGCATTCCCACTTTCCTAACACGTGGACGAAAGGAAGAAGGAAAAGTCCAAGTCAGTGCCCATCTTGATTGCCCATTAGAAACCCAAGTTGCCACCGTCTCCTCTTACTGGAGACTGAATTCAATTGAACACAATTCCAAATTTCAGCCAAACACAGGTCTAGGTGTACTATTAGATGTGG